AGTTTCTTTGGTCAAATCTCTAAAGTTTCATTTTGAGGAGTTTTTTTTTTTTTTCTTTTAAAATTTTTACTTTTTCAGACAAAAAAAGATTTAGTGAAAGTGCTTCAGTCTCCACAGCCCCCGCCCACGGGGACGAGCCCCCGCCCACGGGGAAGAGCCCCCGCCCACGGGGACGAGCCCCCGCCCACGGGGAAGAGCCCCCGCCCAGGAAGTGCCTTATATGGACCAGAAAACAGCAGCAAGAGGTTTTGTTTTAAAGTGAGTTTATATCTGGCATTTAGTCCTGGTTTAGTCCCGGCCCTGGTCTAGTCCCGGTCCCGGTCCGGTCCCGGTCCCGGTCTAGAGGCGGTCCCCGGCGTTGCCACAGCGCGCCTGCAGTCCTCGGAGCAGCCTGTCCTCTCGGGGGCTGTAGGGGGCGCTGTAGTCGGTGGGTTCCAGGAGGAGGCGGTTCCTCGTGTTCTCGTGGTTGACGTGGAGGCGGAGCATCAGGACGTAGTGACGCCCGCGCAGCAGCAGGGGGCAGCACTGCTCCCGCGCCCACAGGAACTCACGAGACAGAAGAGGAAAACGGTTCCTGTACGACTCCAGGATCTGGACCTCGAACCGAGTCTCAGAACCCAAGAACTGGACCGACCGGACCTCGGCCCGCACCACTGCAACAGACCAAGGACCTGTTAGAAACCCGGTCTAGACCGGGTTCTAGTTCACTGTACAGAGAGGGAAAGGTCGACTGAACCAGGGTCAGAAGGTCAGGGGGTCAAAGGTCATAGAATCAGATTGAGAACAAACCGAAGTCTTTGGAGCAGAACTGTCTCTGTCTCTCCCTGCGCCCTCTGACGGCAGGACACGCCCCACAGCGCCCTGACACACAAACAAACACACAAATAAACAAACACACAAATAAACAAATAAACAAACACACAAATAAACAGATAAAGTCGGACGTCGACTTCATGGATTTTTCTCGCCAACATCAGTTGTTTCTCCAACGTTTCACTGGATCCAGAAGATCTTAGTTGGGCTGCTGGTTCTGGTTCTGGTTTTGGTTTCGTTTGTGTAAAAGTTTCAGTCTCACTGGGATCTGCTCTAAATCAAACGGACTGAGACTCAAAAAAGATCTGGTCTTGGTCCCAAAGTCAAACTCTGGTCTCGTCTCTGGTGAGACTCAGGGTCCCTCCTCCCATGATGCATCTGGAGCAGTTGGTCTGGACCGACTGGCTCTGGTCTGGACCTGAATCTGGTCTGGACCTGAGTTTGGTCTGGACCTGAATCTGGTCTGGACCTGAGTTTGGTCTGGACCCGAGTCTGGTCTGGACCTCAGTCTGGTCTGGACCTGAGTCTGGTCTGGAACCTGAGTCTGGTCTGGACCTGAGTCTGGTCTGGACCTGAGTCTGGTCTGGACCTGAGTCTGGTCTGGACCTGAGTCTGGTCTGGACCTGAGTTTGGCTTTGGGACCGAGCCCAGATGTTCTCTGAGTCTGGGTCTGATCTTCTGGGTCCAGTGTCTGGTTGAGTTTCTCTGTGATGTTCCTCAGACCTGGACGAGGATCCAGGGGCAGATCCTGGTCGAGTTCTGGTTCAGTCCGAGTCTTGAGCCGAAGGGACGACGTCTGAGGACGAAGAGGGACAGAGTCCACTGGAACAGAGACAGGGACATGTCAGGAGCAGGCAGGAGCAGACAGGAGCAGGCAGGAGCAGGCAGGAGCAGACAGGGACATGTCAGGAGCAGACAGGGACATGTCAGGAGCAGACAGGACATGTCAGAGCAGACAGGGACATCAGGAGCAGACAGGGCAGACAGGGACATGTCAGGAGCAGCAGGAGCAGACAGGACAGTCAGGCAGGAGCAGACAGGGACATGTCAGGAGCAGACAGGGACATGTCAGGAGCAGACAGGGACATGTCAGGAGCAGACAGGAGCAGACAGGGACATGTCAGGAGCAGACAGGAGCAGACAGGGACATGTCAGGAGCAGACAGGGACATGTCAGGAGCAGACAGGAGCAGACAGGGACATGTCAGGAGCACCTCGGTTGACGCGGCGCTGTGGTCGGACGGCGGTGAGGGGTTTGGCTGTCGCCGTGGGGACGGGCGGTGGTGGTGACGGTGGCGTCGCCGCGGTGACAGAGGCGGAGCGGGGGGCGTGGTCCAGCGGGCTCTTGGGGCCATGGAACAGGAAGTAACGTTCCGGCGGGAGCCAGTACTCGAGAGAAATCCCCGGACCCGACTCGGTCGACAAAACCTGAGACCGACCGAGAAAAACAAACAAACAAACAAAAAAACAAACACACACAAACAAACAAACACACAAACAAACACACACACACACACACAACAAACAAACAAACAAACAAACACACAAAAACAAACAAACACCACAGTGAGTTTGATATTTTTATAAAACCACATGCGACGGGGACACCTGTCACAGGGACAGGTGCAGGGACAGGCGCAGGGACAGGTGCAGGGACAGACGCAGGGACAGGTGCACTCACCAGCAGGTGCAGGTCCTCCCTGGTCGGGCCTCTCAGCTCCAGACTCTCCCATTGGTCAGGTGAGCGCCTGTCGGAGGAGCGCCCGTCGGAGGAGCGCCTGTACAGGAGCCTGGTCCCTGCCGCCGGGTACTCGCCAGGACGACTGATGGTCCAGTGCCCGTTTATGATGAACTCTGACCTCTGCCCGTTCTGCAAAACTACAAACACACAAACACACACACAGTTACACACAAACACACACAGTTACACACACTGTCCCCTTGCCCCCAATAATAGTAGTTGTAACTAGAGCCCGACCGATATTATCGGCCAATATGGGCACCTGGAGACATATCGGCTATTGGCCGATATGCTCGCTGATAGGGGCCGATATTTCACGTGGGCATGTTACACCTCGTTATAAAGCTTAGACTCTCTACATTATGTTCATTTAATCCAATTTACAGACAGATAAATGTCCTCATATGTGGCTCCACATCAGTATTTATCTACGGTGTAATTTGTCTGTGTGTGTGTCCGTACTGTCCCTGAACACACCACCACAGTGACGTCACTTCACTCGCGTGTGTTTGTTTACACCCGCAGCCGTGCGCAACACTGAGATTATATTCTTTTTCAGACAATCGGTTTGAGTTTGGATTAAAAGGACATTTATTAGTGCAGACTTGTGATGTGGGAGGAGCCTGTGTGAGGCTGAGTGTTGGAAATACATCGATTTTGAAGCTAGTTTAGGTTTTGTTAGCGATTAGCTGCTGTAGCTCCTGCACATAAACAGGCTGTTTTCTATTGGTCTATTGTAAAGTGACTAAATTGGCCGTATATTTGTTACTGGACCAGCATTGATATGTAAATGAGCTGTGAATAGACGTGTGAATGATCCACATTTATGCATATAATTAATGACCGCGGTGCGCACGTTTTTTACGGCTAAAGGCTAATAGCGATAGTTTACTAGCAAGGAGCGATCGAAGCGGCTCTTAGATCCGGCTCTTTGAAGTGAACGACAGGAGCATGTTTCTTATTGGGAGCCGTGTTTTCTCTTTTTTCTCACTTTTTCTCTTCATGCCGCATGTCGACCTGTAGTTTGACAGCAGCAGCGGCTGAAAACTAAACTTTCAGAAATCTGCGTGTGCATAGGATAAAAAAAAGTGCATATTTGGCTGCAGTTCAGCATAAAATGAATAAACCAGGACTAATCTTGGGCTCGAGTGCAGGAGAGAGATAGAAACTGAGTCCCGACACTCAGTCCTGGTTCAGTTCTGGTTTAGTCCTGCTTGCAACAAAACAATCTCAAGAGTCGCTTGGGAGCCGAAAGAGCCAGCTGCTTTAGTGAGCCGAGCCAAAAGAGCCGGTTCTCCAAAAAACAAAAAAAAAACTGGAATACCCATCACTAGCAGTGACAGTAACAGTAGCTAGAATGTGATGCAAAAATGCCATTAGGCCAAACTACTGTATGTAAATATGATGTAAAGAGTCAAAATAACAATAAATGTTGCCTAAATAAACCCAATTTAAAATCCACTAGAGCCAAACCTAAGTTTTTTAATCAATTCAAGATTTACAGTGAATTTTTACATCACTAAATATATCGGCGATTATATCGGCCACAACAAAATCCATATCGGTCGGGCTCTAGTTGTAACAGTAGTAGTACTTGTAGCAGTAGTAGTACTTGTAGCAGTAGTAGTAGTAGTAGTAGTACTTGTAGCAGTAGTAGTAGTAGTAGTAGTACTTGTAGCAGTAGTAGTACTTGTAGCAGTAGTAGTAGTACTTGTAGCAGTAGCAGTAGTACTTGTAGCAGTAGTAGTACTTGTAGCAGTAGTAGTAGTACTTGTAGGAGTAGTAGTACTTGTAGCAGTAGTAGTACTTGTAGCAGTAGTAGTAGTGTAGTAGTAGTAGTACTGTAGTAGTAGTACTTGTAGCAGTAGTAGTAGTAGCAGTAGTAGTAGTAGTACTTGTAGCAGTAGTAGTACTTGTAGCAGTAGTAGTACTTGTAGCAGTAGTAGTACTTGTAGCAGTAGAAGTAATAGTAGTAGTAGTAGTAGTACTTGTAGCAGTAGTAGTAGTAGTACTTGTAGCAGTAGTAGTAGTAGTACTTGTAGCAGTAGCAGTAGTACTTGTAGCAGTAGTAGTACTTGTAGCAGTAGTAGTAGTAGTACTTGTAGCAGTAGTAGTACTTGTAGCAGTAGTAGTACTTGTAGCAGTAGTAGTAGTAGTACTTGTAGCAGTAGTAGTACTTGTAGCAGTAGTAGTAGTAGTACTTGTAGCAGTAGTAGTAGTAGTAGTACTTGTAGTAGTAGTAGTAGTAGTAGTACTTGTAGCAGTAGTAGTTGTAGCAGTAGTAGTACTTGTAGCAGTAGTAGTAGTACTTGTAGCAGTAGTAGTAGTAGTACTTGTAGCAGTAGTAGTAGTACTTGTAGCAGTAGTAGTAATTGTAGTAGTAGTAATAGTACTTGTAGCAGTAGTAGTATAGTAGTACTTGTAGCAGTAGTAGTATTTGTAGTAGT